TTCTACATAACGGTTCCCCCTAGAAGCTTGTCAAATAAGCCACTTTCTATACATTTCTACTACCAAACAGTCATGTATAGCTGACCAAATAAGCTAAGTCCCATTAAGCTCGTTAAACTGCTAACAAACATGCCCTTAATAGAAAACCAACCAAACAACTCCAAAGAACCATATGAATCGCCTCAAAATCGTCTGTATCGGAACCTTGTATTCACTAACAAACCGAACTCTTTTATGCTATATTAATCGTCTATAAATCCAAACAAAAACTATTCTGCGAAAACCCGAAATCACAGTTTGTGTAGTTCCTTTGTGTTCAACTAAAAAAAATGAAGAATTGGATACCATTTTAATGTCTGAAGTTACCTAAAAGGGAACTTTGTTGTATATATGTTTGTTTCTTGAAAGTAAGGTATCAGATCAAAGAAGAACCAATCTGGCATTTATTCCCAGCTTTGCAATGCACCACCATCTGGCTTCACAAGTTTATTATGTTCTGCACCCAAATATACACATAAACATGAGTATAGAAAATATACGGATTAAGGGGTAGTTTACCAACACAAATTAGGTAAGTGCTGATTGGGTAAGAGGTGCTGTCTGGGTAAAAGGTGCGGTCTGGGTAAGTGTTGACTAAAAGTGGTTGTTTATCAAGTACACCCTCCATCCCAAAATAAACGTCCACAATAAAAAATGGCACACTAACCAAATGACACTTTTACCATCTCATAGTTAAGGGTAGAATGGGAAAATATAAACTTACTTTTGATAGTAGATACTTATTTTGAGACAAACTAAAATAGAAATATAAACACTTAATTTAGACCAGTGGGGTATTTTGTAACAAGAGCTTAGTGATTAAAACAATTTGGGTAGGCAGTGTCTGAGACCCGGTCAACACCTCAATCAGTCAGAAATATAGGCAAACATCATCTCTTACCAAGTAAGAGGCAAGAGACAATCAACACTAAGAGTGCGTTTGGTATGCAGATTAGATTAGACATAAATGGACTACACAGAAGAATGAGATAATCGGGTGAAAAAGTTGTGCAAGGTTTTAGGGTTTTAATTTTAATGGGTAGTTTAATAATTTACCAATCTTGTCACATCACTCTGATTTTTTTTTCTACTTTTTTTGGTGCGACAAAAGAATGCAATTTTGTCTCGCTCGGTTTTGTCTTGTCCCAGTCTAAATGTCACACCAAACAGACAATAATTTTTTGTTTTGTTATGTCTCATCATGTCCTACCAAACGCACCCCTAAGTGCTTATAGCCTCTTACCAGGTAACCAGTGCTTACCGGGTAAGACCGTGAGAGACAATGCTATTTACCAACACCTTATGACTAAGAAATATTTTTGGCCTAAGATTCTGACCCAGTAAGAGCATTTTACTCGATCAACGCTTACCCAATTTTTAGCAAACCTTTGCTAACTATAAACGGATTTGAGAGAGAGAGACTCACTAATTAAACTGAATTCACGAAATCAGCTCTCAGCATCCTGTGCCCATATTCACATTTAAGGATGGAGTCATAGAACTCGAGTTGCAGCATTTGACAGTAGTCGGATCCCATTCTGAACTAAACACATAATCCAAACGTCTTCCCAGCAATGTTTGCGATCTATGAACCCACCAATCAGAACCTTGCTTCATGTTTTCTGAACCAGTAGTTCTGATTTCTTCGCTACAATCATCTTGATCAGGTGTAGATGGGCACGAACCATTAACACCACCAGCCTTCTTACTCATAATTGAAGGAGGGTTTTCATAACTAATTGCAGATTTTGGACTATAAGAGATGCTTAGCGTAAGATCAGGCGGTGTAGAACACGAAAACCGACCATTTTCAGATCTAAAACTGTTCTCCAAGGTTAAGGATGTGCCATTTTTGGTAGAATTGCTGTCAGTATGTCCAAATGTAGACAAACTTAGAAACAAAGAATTTGGTGAAGACCCGAGTTTCAAATCATTGATTTCATCAATTCTACGCCTTTTGCAGGGTTCTGAGATCATCTGGGAGCTTTTAGTAGGATCAAGAACCGCAAGAGGAAGGCGGTTTGGTGGTGATTTGAACCCACAACCGTTTGCATACCTAGCGAAGCCTAGACAAGCGTCACCACCGGTTCCTAGAGCCAAATCTGTTGAACAAGCATTCAAATCATTTTCTAACGAATTTCCACGACCAAATAACCTTTTTTGACCGGTCTTTCGCTGCACCACCGACAGTCCCCTGCCTTCATTTTTAATTTCGGAATTGTGAAGATCAGTGTGTGTAGTTTCTTGAATGTTAGATGGTAGCATGGGAGGCATGTTTAGATCCAACTTCCTCTTGAAAGAGCAATTCCAATGGTTTTTAATTGCGTTATCAGTCCTGCCAATATATAATTTTACTCCGTAGAAATGGTAAACAAATGAGAAGGAGGCATGTTCAGATGAGAACCGTAAATATTTTGAGAAATAGGGAACCAACAATTCATGTTGTCTTCATTATGAATGTCATGATCGATATCCATGAGAAAAGTATTCATGATGAAAATACATGATATTCCCAATGACAATGCATGACTATGAAAATGCGTAATATTCATGATGAATAATATTCATGATGCATTATATTCAAGGTTATTCATTACGAATAATACATGAAATAGTTGGTTATCAGATTCTCAAAATATTTATGGTTTTTAAACTTGCCCCTAAAACTATAATCAACAAAGAACCCATTTTTGTAGTAAAATGACATTTTAAAACTCATTTTGTAGAATCAAATGACATCTTAAGCATACCTTCCAGGTAGAAATCTGGCTATTTCTGCCCATTTGTTACCATATATCTGGTGGTAATGTGTAAGGGTTGATTCCTCCTCTTTAGTCCATGTGTCCTTCTTTATAGCTGGATCTAAATGGTTGTGCCACCTGAGACACCATATAACAAAAAGATCTGGTGTGATCTCAGTGTAATGTGGAATTATTGTACTCCCTCCGTCACAAAATAAGTGCCACATTTCTGTTTTAGGGTTGTTTGGTTAGTTTTTCATTAAGTCATGTATGAATAAAGTTGTCTATATAGATTGGGAAGGTTTTTGTTTACGAGGGTTTTTTCATAGATGGAATGGGGGTGTTTTTTAATTTTTTAGGGAAGAAGGCTTGGAAAAAGCTTAGCTTTCTATGTAGAGCTCCCCCATAGAAGCTTATTGAATAAGCCATTTTTCTATATTATTAAGCCACTACCAAGCGGTCATGTATAGCTGACTGAATAAGCCATGAGTCCCACTAAGTTCATTAAGCTGCTATCAAACAAACCCTTAGGTGGCATTTGGGTTTTAAGAGGTGTTTAACTTATTTCACTTCTGATTGATAAGAGATGGTGGTGAAGTCTGAAATCTGAATCAACAAAACTGTTTGTTTTTGTAGACTGATAAATGTCTGAATTTGTTTAAATTGTCTGTTTTACCCATTAGAAAATTATAGTGTTGAATTTTTAGATAAATTTATACAATTTCACATATTTATTCATCTGTCATTACGAAATTTACATGTTAAATTATATAATTAGCATTCATTTAAACGAAAATGTCATTAATGGTATTTAACACATTTAAATCCTATTAAAATACATCAATTGAGAGAGGTGATGATGGATTTGGTAAGAATCGATTGAGAGAAACGATCAAATAAGGATAATCGATTGGGAAATGTCGTTGCTGAGGGTTTGGAGAACAATAAAAGACAAATAAGAGGTTGTTTTACCTTTTACCAGATAAAAGAACAATAAAACATAAGTGCCTCTGAAAATTTGGAAAAAACAAACAGTCTGAATGATCCTACCTCTTAACGAGTCTAACATAAGAGGTTGATAAGAGCTTTTTCTTAAAAAAACAAACAAGGCCTTAGTTTGTCTCAATATAAGTGTATAGTTTCAAAAGTAAGCGCATACTTTCCAATTCTACCCTTAACTATAAGTTGGAGAAATTCATTATTGTCATTTAATTGATTATGAAGTGTAATACTCAGACGTTTCTAAAATTGTGTCTCTTTTCCATTGTGAACATTTATTTTGAGACGTATGGAGTAGTAACCAAGTTCAGCTATGCAAAACTCAGTGTCCTTCAAAGTTGAATCAAAAGCCCCTGTAAAATAAGGGCTGCTGATTTACAAGAAACAAAATCAAGGGAGATAAGAAAACAGTTTCTTTACTCGTCAGGATAGAGATATGGTCTGCATACATCTTACCCTTGTGTGGGATTCACTCAGTTTTGTTTGGTTTTAAACATCAAGAGATACTATAACTTGCAGCATCCGCTTGCAACTTGAAAATGTAATATAAGAAGCTACACAAATCTCCTAACATACAAAATAATCCTCAAGAAATCACAAACATTTATCACTATAAGAAATGAGGTGGATCCTAAGCTTTGCAACTGGCAACTAGTATTTACCAAACGCGATTAGTTTATCAACTAGTTTTTCAGCTATCAGTGATAGCTTAGCAGCTACCAACTAGTTTATCGGCTAACAGTTAGCTTATCAGTTTACAACTAGTTTGTTATAGCCATGAGTATGCAAAAAAAATAGTAGAGTAAGCTTAATTACCTCTCCCGGCATTGTTTTCCAATGCGACCAGGTAAATACTTTGCAATAACTGACCATTTCATACAACCATGCTTCTCAACCATCCTTATAATACAATCATCTTCCTGAATAGAAGTTATAAATAAATAAGTTAATAAAGCAACCAAGATTAACCAAATCAATGGGAGTTGAATTTCCAATTGCAATATAAGCAAAAAGGGAGTCAAATTTACCTCTTTGCTCCATGGTCCTTTGACAATTTCAGGATTAAGAACTTTCTGCCAACGATGTAAACATTGAACGTCTGTCCGTCCTGGAATATATTGGGCTTTACAAGACAAGAAAAAACAGAATCTGAAATTAAAAGTACAACATTTTGTCTATAAATCGTGTGAACGTTGAGTCATTAGTGTAATTAGTTTGCAACAATGGTCCAAACTTTTGATGGGGAATAAACTTAAAAGAGTTCGATTTACAAAAATGTTGCTGCTATCAATATACAAAATACCTTAGGTTGTACTATAAACCAAACGAACCCAATATATCCCAACAGAGGTATGGTATAGGAAGGGTAAGATGTACGCAAACCTTGCCTCAACCCCAACTACTCAGACATGAAAAAAAAAAAAAACTTCATCTAGCATACAGTAAAGGCTGAAAAAACTAAGACTTGCATTCAGTACATGCGGAAATGGCTTAACAATAGACGGCTTCAACTCAAATGGGACAAAAGATTGATTTGAAGGGTATAAGAAACAAAACAAAATAACTGCATAATGGCAAACTCACCTATTTTCTTCCAATTCCTCCCGTTAAACTTCTTCACTACATCAGCCAACAGATTATCCTGAAAACGAAAATACACGAAAGAGTAAGTGTTCTGCTTCCAGGTTAAAGTAGCTGATGTTTCATGTTAATGTACCATATTTCTAGCTTTAAATTCTTGCTCTCCGTCCCAAAATAAGTATCTAAATTTCTATTTTGTAGTTTGTCTCAAATAAGTGTCTATTTTCAAAACTAAGTGTGGACTACACAATTCTAACCTTAATTATGAGATGATGAAATTCATTACTCCCTCTATTATCAACACTAACATTGTCATCTAGTTGATTAAAAAGCATAATAATAACATATTTCTAGAATTGTGTATCTTTTTCATTGTGGACATTTATTTTGGGACGGAGGGAGTAATACAACACCCTCATGCAACTACGTTACATCATAATCTTTACAAAAACTACTACTCATATGGAACTGCATAACAAAACTAGACTACTCTATGGCTACTTGACAAAATCACAAGATCCTGAAAATAGGCCAACAGCAATTTAGATTCCATAGCTGCAGCCTAAACCAAGACAAATGTATCTGAATTGCGATTAAGCCACATAGTACCGACCAACCTCATCATCTGTCCAGCCTGCCTGTGATGAACGTTTAGTTTGATTGCCACTCCTACAACCAAGAGACATACACTCATAAGAAAATCATATCAAGAATCACTAAAGAGAGAAGATGGGGTCTTAAGAGTAACATCAATATAACTTCAGTGATATTATAAGTGTCCATTTGGTACGCGGTTCAACTTTAAATTAGGAAGAAACTAGCAAACATTATGCAATTTTACAAACATGCAATGGAGGTTGCACATGATTGTGGTCATCAACGCATTTGAGTCAAGAGAAACAATCAAACAACCGGAACTCCTTATCTGTTAATTCAGAAATATTAAACCTCTCGGTTTTCAACATAGAACCAAGTGACTGACATTGATGGATGCCCCTCTAGACAGAATGAGGCTCTCGTTGAGAGATCCATTAGTGATTGGCCCACCCCTCCTGACTTCTGATGAGAAAGTCGTAGGTGAAAGAGGTTCACCCATACTTAACAAGGGCTAAGCCGCTAGGAATGGTTTGCTGGCCTGTTGGGAGAGTCACAAGATGAAATGAAAATGAGTTCTCCTTCCAAACAGACTAGAAGACATAGTTGCCTTCCTTTGACCCTTTTTCCCGATTTATTGGTGCTGTCCCCCTTGCATTCCCTCCAAATTGCAAGATCATATACTGATCAGTTATCACATAAGCTGTTCTCATCACATCTTTTCACATGTAGCTGCAGGCTGCAGCCTGCCCCAGGCGTAGCACAGTTGGTTCCAGGGTGGTATGCTTGAACAAACTGGCAGGGGTTCGAGTTTCGCAACTTCAATGTGGGAGTCATATTCCTTTGGAAATTGGGCTCCTTGTGAGTAATGGGCTCAGAAGAAGCTAGCCACCTAATGAGCCATTGTGTACCTTATTTGCCTCTCACGTGATGCACGTAGGGCAAGGCAATGTGGGCAGCTAGGGTGTTGCTAAAAAACCTTTTTTGCACAAGTGTAGCTGCAATTATGACACCTGTTATTGGGCCTACAAGTGTGAAATAACATGCTCTCCTGTCCTAGCATAAAGAGTTGATGAAATAAAATCTTGACTAGTCTTTAACTTCACAGACCAAATAGGCTCTCCTACTCTAGAATATTAATTGACGCAAGTTGATGTGGTGCAAGTTATATACGCATCACATAAGTTGTTCTCAACAAGACACCATATGTAATCATTCAGAAAACTCCTTTTGCTAATTGAATCATAATTTAAAAATACCTCTAAAATGATTCATGATCATGAACTTATAATCATTTGGTATTATTCCTTTAGACTTCAGTTAGAGGAATTGCCCAAACGAGCTTCAAGTTTCTTGGATTAGTTATTTACTTAACTACTTTTCTTTCTGAATTCACATGAACTTTGGAAACCATTAATGAGCTCAAAGTCAATTCAGTACAGCATTTAGATCTAGTAAGAGTAAACTAAGAAACTTACCCACAACTACTACGAGATCTCGGTGTGTTAGCATCACAGCTACTATTGGAAATTGATGAACTTGATGTGAATCCAACTTCTTTAGTAAAGTCAGATGCATGCCTTTCCTTCTTCACTCCAATCATCCCATCTGTCATCCCAATTGAGGTTCCCTTCACCTATGAAAACAGTCGCAAAAACCAATAGCAACACAATCACCATCAGAACATCAAAAAGACATCCCAAGAGACTAGAATCAACAAACTAATCAGAAATCCCAAAAATAGATACAACATTAGCAGCATTCATAAAAAATCGAAAGAACAATGATTGAACTAGATGTCATCGCTAACTAGAGTCAATTAACAAACACGCCGATCCAAAATCACACATTTTTCTCAACATTCGTGTAAAAAACAAGCTCGAAAACTGAAATTTCGCTAACAATTTAATTTTATCAATTGATTATCTAAATCTCCTTGACTTCATAACAAAAACACCTATTGCCCTTGCTTCCTCCACTAATATATCAGACTAATAACCATTCAATCAATCCGCATTGCAACTGATTGATCGATTAAAAATCAATAGGAAACAAATAACTTCAGAACAAACGAACCCTACTTAGCGTTTGATTTCTAGGGTTCAAACCCCATTTTTTTCAATCAATCATCGATTGAATTGAGATTGAGACCAGCATTAAGCTTTGTAACCGTCGAATGAACAATAAAATTAAAGAACTAAATGGAAAAAAAAACAGAGAAATTGTGTTTCTGGATACAGCAAAACCTGCACAGTAATCGGCATTGAAAAATTTTGAAATGTAACCGACCTTTGCTAGGGTTTACCGAAGATTTAGGGAATGGTGGAAGGGAGTAATGGAAGATACAGAGGGAGCCAGATTCAGATGATTATGAGTAGCGGGAAAATGAGGAGAGAGAGAAAAAAAATAAATCATTTAAAGCATAGGATCGCGCGGATTCGAAAATGACTGCTTTAAATTTACTCCATTTAATATATATATATATATATATATATATATATATGTATATATATATATATAGGGTTGGGTTCACGTGAGACCAAGAGTTTTTCGTGAGACCCGTAAGACCAATTTATGTTCATTGATCAAATTTATAAATTAATGATCTAATGGTTGCAAAGTTGCAAGGTGACAATTTCGTAATTAGTGAGAAGTTTCGTGGCGTTTATAAATGTTCAGATCTGACGGCTGTAAATCTAATCCAAGGGTTGAGAATTGGTCTTACAGGTCTCACGGAAAACCATTGGTCTCACATGATCCCAAGTCTATATATATATATATATGTATACATAGAAAATTTATTAAACTAATCATTTTTTCGGGTTGGTTTCATCACCTAATCATTTTCTATCTAAATTTACCAAAATAACCATGGATCCGTAAAATTTCATGTCCGTAATTGCGGAGTGCGGACCCAGCTAAAAGACGAAAAAAGAATTACACGTATACCCTTGTCTGCCAAAAGAATTACATTTTTCATCTAGATCCACAAAATAAAAACTACATTCCTCACACAGGTCCAGAAAAAAAAAACTGCGAACCTAAAACTATTTTGGTAAATCTTGTAAGAAAGTGACTAAGATGTGAAAACAACCGGTAAAAATGATTATTTTTAATTGATTTCCATATATATACACACACATTTATATATATGTGTGTGTATATATACAACAGTATAACAGATTCTCTAGAATATAGAAAATATAGATTTTGTTCTTTATTTTATTGTAACATGTTTTTTATATGGCTTTTCTAATCTATACTATATTATAAAGCATTTGATAAAAACTTTTAAAAATCATTTTTTATGCATGAAGTACTGTTTATTGATACATTTT